TTTGGAAGCCAGCTATCTGTCCAACAGATTAGAAGAAATCCATATTTGAGCCCATTCCAAAGAAAGGTAACTCAATGGAATGCAGAAATCATTGATCAATATTATTATTTTATAAGCAAGTAAAATTTTGCTAAAGGTAATTTTTAAATAGTTGTAGCAGTACATTGAAAAGGAGTTGCCAGAAATTCAAGCTGGATTCAGAAGAGGATGTGGAATATGAAATATCATTGCTGACATCAGTGGATCTTGGCTAAAAGCACAGAATACCAGAATGATGTTTATCTGTATTTTATTGACTATGTAAAGGCATTCAAGTGTGTGGATCACAACAAGTTATGGGTACCATTACTAAAAATGGGTATTTCGGAATACTTAATTGTATTCATAATGAGCCTGTACATAGACCAAGAGGTAGTTGTTCAAACTGACCAAGGGAGTACTTAATGGTTTAAAATCTGGAGAGGTGGTATGCATCAGGATTGTATCCTTCAATCACATTTATTCAATATATATGCTGAGCAAATAATACAAAGAACTGGATTATATGAAGAATGTGGCATCAGGGTTGGAGGAAGACTCATCAACAACCTGTGACATGCAAATGAAGTATCCTTGCTTGCTGGAAGCGAAGAGGGCTTGAAATACTTACTGAAAATGAAAATCCTCACAACTGGACCAATAAATATTGGTGCATCATGATAAACAGAGAAAAGATGCAAGCTGTCAAAGACTTCATTTTGATTGGATCCACTATCAACACTCCTGGAAGTAGGAGTCAAGAAATCAAACAACATATTGCATTAGGAAAAGATGTTGCAAATGGCCTCTTTAAAGAGTTTTAAGAGCAAAGATGCCAGTTTAAGGACTAAGGTGTACCTGACTCAAGCCCTGCTATTTTTATTCTTTTCATATGCATGATAAAGTTAGATAAAAGAAAAGAAAAACTGTAGAAGAATCGATGCATTTGAATCATGGTGCTGGCGAAGAGTATTGAAAATACCATGGCCTGCCAGAAGAACAAACGAATCAGATTTGGAAGAAGTACAGCCAGAAAGCTCTTTAGAAGAGAAGACAGCGAGACTTAGTCTCTCATTCTTAGGATATGTTGTCAAGTGAGATCAGTCAACTGATCATCAGCGGATGGTCATCAAAAAAGAGAAAGACCCCAATGAGATGGACTAACACGGTGGTACAACAGTGTATTCAAGCATCCTAAGAACAGAGACACAGAACTGGGCAATGTTTCTGTTCTGTTGTGCATAGGGCCACTATGAGTCAGAAGTGACTTAGTTGTACCTAACAAAAACAACCTCACATGGATGCGAAAAAATAACCTCATCTGGATGCGAAAGCTGGACAGTGAATAAGGAAGATCGTAGAAGAATTGATGCCTTTGAATTGTGGTGTTGGAGGAGAATACTAAAAGTGCCATGGACTGCCAAAAGAACCAATAGATCTGTTTTGGAAGAAGTGCAGCCAGAGTGCTCCTTGGAGGCCAAGATGGCTAAACTTCGTCTCTCATACTTTGGACATACTGTCAGGAGGGAACAGTCGCTGGAGAAGGATGTCATGCTTGGTAAGATGGAGGGTGAGAGAAAAAGAGGAAGACCCCCAACAAGATGGATTGGCCAGGTGACATCATTGACAGTATCAAGTGTGGCGGCGGTAGTGAGGTTTGCCCAGGATCGGACATTGTTTCGTTCTGCTGTGCATGGGGTTGCTATGAGTCGGTTCCGACTCAATGGCACATGACAACAACAACAACAACAACAACAAAAATAACAACAACGAGGAGCTCTGGTAGCATAGTGGTTATGTGTCAGGCTGCTCACCTCAAGGTCAGCGGAAAAGCTTTCTGCTCCTGTAAAGATTTACAGCCTTGGAAACCCTATACAGGGTTGCTATGAGTTGAAACAGACTCCTTGGCACACCACCACCACCACCACCACCACCGACAACAACAAAGCATAACTTTTACTTATATATACATATATATCATTTATTGAAATATAAAGATCTTCATTTACATGTTTTGGGGGCATTTATAACACATCTTGTACTGGTGAACCTTCCCAAACAAATTAGTTCTCACACATTCACCACACCATTGTTTTGGGAATACTTAAGTATTTTTCTCTTTATTATTTCTAAAATATAATTTTTGGACATTCAAAAGTGCAACAGTTAATGTGCCTGTGGGGAATATCACAGTTAAAAAATATATAAACAAAGGCAGTGATACAGCTTGTCATAAATGTTTTGGCAGTATTCTCCAAGTCTATATAGAAATACATATATACATATTGATGTATAACATCATTGTATCTAATGTCCCTCTTCACAAAAAATAGGACCATTTTGTACAGATTGGTAGACCACATTTTAAGGACATCATTGATGATTGAAAAACTCAAAAGTTGTGTTTCTCAGGCCAGCTTTGATTGTCATCATAAAAACAGAAAGCAAAAGGATTGGCAAATTTCCTTCTAGGGATTTCTCAGGGTGTCGAAAGGAAACACATCTGTGATACACTGAAAACACTGTAAAAGCTTGTGGTCACACCTTCCAGTTGGAGCACTTGTTCGGACTGGACACTGTCAATCTGAGAATTTTCCTCCAGCCTCGAAATGTCACACAAGGTTCAAAGTAACATCAAAATGCAAAGTACCAACAAGAGAAGGCTCTACAAGTGAAAGTGAGTGAAAAACAGAATGCTTGAGCTGTGGTTCTAGAAACACAAATGTATTTCAAGTCTAATTGGCTCTACAGAGTCTAGTCAGGTTTTCTCTAATTGGCCAATCGGGCTCAGTCTTCACACTTACTATGAAAACAGGTGGGTAAGACAGTTGGGGCTTGCATTAAGATTATACCAGTGGTAGTCAAGTACCTTGTTATTGCTTCTACATCTTCCAAAGCATCACCTGCCAGTAGCACATACACTGATTGCTGTAATCACAGCCCATGTTTCATTTACAGAGTATCAGCAATTTAGCAGGATTGCAAAGAATGCCAATGAACCCACACCAACTAGTTCAAGAGTTTGGGTTGATATGACAACTCATCCTCCCATCTAACTTCAAAAAAGCAGTCAAACTTTTGAAAATTTTTTCCCACCAAAATAAGCTCTGGTAGCGTAGTGGTTACGAATCGGGCTGCGAACCTTAAGGTCAGCGGTTCGAAACTACCAGCCGCTCCGCGGGAGAAAGATGAGGCTTTCTACTCCCGTAAGGATTTACACCCTCGGAAACCCTGTACAGGGTCGCTATGGGTCGGCTCCGACTCGAAGGCACTTAACAACAACAACATACAGAGATGTGGTGCATGGAATTGTATCTTTTTTGAACATGCTTTTTCTGGACATTTAAAAATCTCAAACTCATACCCCCATGCAACAGGAAGCAATGTCTTTACTTTTGGAAGACCTGCCCAACCAAGCTTTAGCTTGCTCAACCTCAGCCAAGACTGGAAAGCTAAATTAAGGGTAACAATCACTAGCTACGTGGCATTAAATGTAACAGACCTAAAGACAAGGGCTTAAATAGCAGGTTTCCTGCAATGCTGACTTCTAGCCCAGTTTCAAATTTCCATTTTTTTTTAATCCCATGGCAACTTCCTGTAATCTATGCTGATTGTTACCCAAACCTGGTTGATCAGAACAGTCAAGTTGTTTATGAAACCACAGGTTCCTGTTTCCTCCAGACTTAAGAGGTCTGAATTTCTGGGGATCAAGAATCTTGTGATCCTGGTTGCCAGTTACTTTATGGGCTCAGCATTTCAAACCATCTCTGTGTGAGGTAAGAGATGAGGAAATGAGGCTGATGTTCACAGCATCCTTCTGATTCTTTTAGGATTTGAAGAATCAAACAAAAAACAAAAAACACACACATATATATATATGTTGGGATCCACCAAAGTTATCACCAAGCATTTAAAAAACCTCTGCAAATCCAATCTTTATACTGAAGATTATGTTTTCCACTGAGTAATAACATGAAAAGTTTCAGGCATAGGCATATGCCTTTACATTGAGAACAGTTGGGGGTTTTTTTGTTTGTTTGTTTTAATTCTATTAATTCAGAGGGTAGTTAATTGTTTTTAGTACAGTTGATTAGGGAACTATTAATATACAAGTAAAACCTCTGACTTCTTGGAAGACTCTACTATTTGTTCTCTATTTTCAACTAAATTTAATTCACTAAAGCTATTACCATATCATATAGAGAAACAAGTTATTTAATATAAATGCCAAAAATCTGTCAAACTTGTCACCCACTTAGTAAGGATTTTTTTTAAATTGTGCTTCTTGGTAGGGAAAACGTGTTACATATTACACATCTAACATTACACGTAACAGTAGTATTATAAAGGTAGATTACAATATAAAAATGAGATGTTGGGCTTCTAAATGACCCAAATCTATTCAAGAAGGCTGGTTAATTGTTATCCTTTATTTCTTTAACACTAAAAAAAAAAGTAAAATGTTATAGTACCAGTACCTTTTAGGTTCAAAAGTGGTTTTGCATGTACTTCACAGGAGAGTTCAAAAGTAGCTGACACTAAGTTTCAACAGAGAAGTACATGAATGGATTGAGTGGTCTCTTCAGAAATCCAGAGGAGAGAGTTAATAAAAATCTCAACACATCCTTGGTTAGGGTAATTTACATAATTACAAACCTGGAGTTTTGTCGCAGTAAAAATTGTGTACGTTGGAATCTCACCAATGCCCTTGAAACACAAAGATTGTCTTCTGTGGCCTAGTTACCCTTTTGTTCATCTACCTCCAAACTGCACACACCGCTGAGATGCTACTGAGTTGCATGAGGCAACTCTGGAAGAGTTCATGTTGATATATCCCATTCATTCATACAAGGCTCCCTGAGGCCGTTGGCTGGGAACTTCTCTGTACACATCATCCAAGTCCTCCACTCTCAACCTGCACGTGGCAATAAAGTGGTTTTCTTAAGGAATCCAAAGGTGGCCCCTAGAGTGGGACCCACCAGTTACAGGAAGCTGTCCTCCACGAGGTCCGAGGAGTCTATGCCAATATCATCCATCATGTCGATGTCTTCAATGGTCTCGTCTTCCCTCTTGATGAAGGTAGAGCTGCTGGAACCTGTCTCAATGGCACTTTCTTCAGAAGTCTGTGAGCTGGAGGAGGAAACAAATGGGAGAAGGTTAACCATGGCCTGTGTTCAGACCAACTAGATGGCGGTCCATTTCCAGGATGTGCCACCAATAGCAAGCTCTTCCTGCAAGATCCGTTGATATTCAACTTCCAGACTTCCCAGTTTGGCAAGATTCTGTCACCAAGTCAGAGTGCTATTCATCATCCGCCACACTGGAGTTGTTGTTGTTAAGTGCCGTCAAGTTGGCTCTGACTCATAGCTACCCTGCATGGGGTTTCCGAGGAACAGCTGGTGAGCTTGAACTGCTGACCTTGAGGTTTAAACCAACCTTACAGTGTAGTACATTAACCCACGGCACCACACCAGGACTCCACATTGTATTTGGCCACATGGAAAACTAAGGTCCATGGGTCGTCTTAAAACGCGCTTGGGCCTTTCAGTTTTCCTTCCCTTCTGTTAAGATTTTAATCAAAGTTACTAACATGCTACAGCAATTCTTGTTTGGTTTGTTCTGTCAAGTTGGTTTTGACTCATAGGGACCCTATATAGGGTTTCTGAGGAATGACTGGTGAGTTTGAACTGCCAACCTTGCGGTTCAAACCGACCTTGAGGTCTAGTGCTTATCTTATGGTGGGTGGCACACCAGGACTCCAAGTGTTCAATATAAGGTTGTTGTTGTTGTTGTTCAGTACTGTGGAGTCGTTTCCAACTCATAGTGACCCTGCACAGGGTTTCCGAGGCTATAAATCTTTACAGGAGCAGAACACCTCATCTTTCTTCTGTGGAACCGCTGGTAGTTTCAAACTGCCGACCTTGAGGTTAGCAGCCCGATTCGTAACCACTACACTACCAGAGCTCCTTCAATATAAGGTAGTTATTACTATTATCAATCAAACTCTTACCTGAATTAGAATAGGGCCAGGAAAACACTAGGTGTTAATTTTCTTACATGTGGTAATGATATTGTGGTTGTGTATTACAGCTGCCTATTCAAGTATTGGAGGTGACAAAAACAAAACAAAACACTACCACCAAGTCGATTCTGACTTACGGCGGTGGTGGTCATCATCATGTGCCATGGAGTCGTTTCCGACTCACAGCGACCCTGTACAGGGTTTCTGAGGCTGTAAATCTTTACAGGAGCAGAAAGCCTCATCTTTGTCCCACGGACACACTGGCAGTTCGAACTGCTGACCTCAACATGTAACCACTACACTACCAGAGCTCCTTATTCTGACTTACAGTGACCCTAGATAGGATTTCCAAGGCTGTTTCCACGGGAACAGAAAGTCTCATTTTTCTCCTAGGGCAATTGGTAGGTTTGACTGTTGAGCTTGTGGTTAGCAGTCAGTCCAGTGCTTATCCTACAGCACCACCTGGGCTCCTTATTGGAGGTGAAGTGTCTTGGTATTCCCAACTTACTTTCAAATGGTCAGGGGGTGAAAATTAGGGGATGCACGCATGTGATGAAGTCCTGGTTTGGCACAGTGGGTTAATGCGCTGGACTGTAAGGTCACTTTGAACTGCAAGGTCAGCCGTTCAAGCTCACCAGTTACTCCTCGGAAACCTTATACAGGGTCGCTATGAGTCGGTACTGACTCGATGGCACTTAACAACAACAATGATACATGTGATAAACACAACACATATTGCTCACAAAGAAACTTCAAAATAAAAAGTTTGTGGAAATTTTGAATTAAAAGCTAATGTACTTTTCCCATGAACTTTCTGAAGCTCCCTCATAAAGTTAGATAAAACAAATGTAACAAAATGTTAATGGTGAAATCTAGGTGGTGGATGGCTATATGGATGTTTATTACATCATTCTCCCAATTTTTCTAGACATTGAAAATTTTTCATTAAAAAATGTTTGGAAAAAGTATTGTTGAGTTGGTTCCAGCCCATAGCAACCTTGTATAGGGTTTCCAAGGAGTGGCTGGTGACACTGTGAACCGCTTAACTCATGGTTCAAACAGACCTTGCAATCCAGCACATTAACCTGCAGCGCCATGCCCGCACTCCTTGGAAAAATTATCTTCCCTAAATTCTCTAGCCTGGTATGATTCCCTTTCTCCCCTCCCTTCTCTGAATTCATAACTTTGATTATCTTATCACTATCTTACCTTGTGAAATTCTGATGTGGCGTTGTGGGTTAATGCGCTGGACTGCCAAGTCGGTTTGAACAAGGTCAGTAGCTCAAGCTCACCAGCCACTCCTCAAAAACCTTATACAGGGTTGATATGAGTCGGGACTGACTCGCCAGCACTTAACAACAAATCCTGCCTTATACTGCTATCTAAATCTATATGTGTATCTGTTCACTTCAAGCAGATTGTCATTGACTGCTCAAATCTCCCCTTTGTGCTACATTACCATGGTATGGTATACAAAGAGCCTATGAACAGTAAATAGTGGTTGGCCAACCAAAGGAATCATACACACACACAAACGTGGGTCAAGCAGGGGCCCTGCTCAGTTTTCCCAGCTCCTTCCTGCTTGTCAGGCCCAGCCTGAACCCTCAACTCTCCATGCCATCTTCTTGAGCAGCGAACACATCAACACAAACAGTTAGCACTGAATCAATTCTGACTCATGCAGACCCCACAGGTTTCAAAGAACAGCTGTGCTTCTTAGAGGGTTCAAGGACTGTATGCCTTTTTGAAGGAGGAAGGTGCCTCCGGGCAAACCCGAATCTCCAATCTTTCTTTAGTAGTTGAGTACTTAACCATTAGCATCATTCAGGGACTCCTGAACAATTAAAGTCTTCTCTGAGTCCCTTCTGACCTGGATCTCTCATAGAATCTACAGGGCTACTGAGGTGTGTTTTCCCTTCACAACCCCACAGATGGGGCTCTTCCCTATGCATGAGCTAGTCTGTATTCCACCTATCCACTCCCTCCCTGCCCTCCACATGCCCCCAGCCCCAGGAAGAACATGTTAAAATCATCTGGAAACATTTTCAAATGCAACGAAGCTCTTGGGGGTTCTGCATCTCCCTGGGCACTGCAGATCCACTACCGGGCAGCGAGTACAATTGGGGGGGGGGAGGGGGGCTCTCCTTCTTTGTGCTTGGGAGGGAGGATGAGAAACTGCTAGAAACTGAGGCTGCCACCCTCGTCTACCTGTGTCTGTTCCTCTTGCCCAGGTCTTCGTCATCAGGAACCGGGTCTATATCCGGCAGAGGGATGATGTAGCCGCTGTCCGCGCTCAGTCTCTGCTCATCAAGGCCACCCTCCCAGTCCTTCAACTTGTCTTCCTCATTTTTGTAGGTGACGCCAATATACGCGTTGTCGGAGTCTACACGCATGCGTGCCACGGCAGGGTGGTCGCTCTTCAGGAACTCCAGGTGAATCTTCTCATAACTCTGTAAACATTCATTCAACAGGTCATCAGTCGTTACTGACCAGACTGCAAAACCAGTACAGATGCACAGAACTTACTGTGATTTAACGATATGCGTTTCCATACTACATCACAGGGATGGGAGTCATATGTCAGCCATCCACAGAGATGTAGGCTATGCAGACTAAGGCCAACCAATGGCAGAGAACTCCTGATAGTCAGGCTTAAGGTACCGGGAGCTCAGAGGGAGACAATAAGCAAGGTAGTCAGGCCTGACTTGTGCTTACTTACTAACCTGAACTATTTACTGGTGGTGGTGGTAGTGTGCCGTGGAGTCAGTTCTGACTCATAGCAACCCTGTGTAGGGTTTCCAAGGCTGTAAACCTTTGTGGGAGCAGAAAGTCTTATCTTTCTCCCATGGAACAACTGGGAGTTTCGAACTGCTGACCTTGAGGTTTGCAGCCCAACTCATAAGCATTTTGCTACCAGAACTACTCACTCCAGATTAGTAAATAAGCACACATCAGCCTGTGCTTACTCAGCTTATTTGGTAACTCACCACTACAGGAGTCTCTTCTCCAAGTCAGTAGTTACAGCCATGCTCCTAAGACCTTCCGTGAGACCAGCACACACTCTGTCAATCCCTGTTACATTGTCCCTCTAGGGCTGGGAGATGTGCCAACAAGAGGAAACAAGAACTTCCCAATCTCCAAATGTCAGGAAAACCGAACTCAAAACGCAGCGACCTTTGAAGGAGCCCAGGTGGCACAATGGTGAAGCACTTGGCTGCTAACCAAAAGGTTGGTGGTTCAACCCACCACCGGGCGCCTCCACTGGTAGGGCACTCTGCTACTGTAAAGATGACAGCTTTAAAAACTTCACAGCTAGTTCTACTCTGGTTTCTC